TGAGTGTGTGTGTGTGTGTGTGTGTGTGTGTGTGTGTGTGTGTGTGTGTGTGTGTGTGTGTGTGTGAGTAGGAGTAAGGCAGGGTACTTAAAGACTACAGTGAAATGACCAGGGGAAGAAGGGCATTCTTTGACTTGAAACAAAACACTGGAGCACAAACGTTATTAAACAAATAACAAAAAATAACAAAACAATGTACAGGAAAATGGCCATACAAATGATGATTTGATTACGAATTACTAAAAACAGCAAGGTATTTCAAAGACAAAGTACTTTATCTCCCGCCGGGACATCAGGTTGAGGGGAAAATACATTTTAGGACGAAAATAAAAATATCCGCATACTTTTGCATGTTGACCATGTTCACGTCACAACCAACATCACTGACACAGGTTTTAGACATGTGGAAAGTTAAAGTAGCAGGGAAAACTTAATGCTTTTCACAATATAATTCTAATGAACCCCACCCCTCATATTCTCCACAACCTTTAAAACCAACATTCTCTCCACAGGTGCACAATGAAGCAACTCCATAAGACAGAACTCTGTGACAAAAGGGAGCGAAACTGGCGTAACAAACGACTCAATCGTGGCCAAAATCCCAACAGTGACACCCGAGAACAAAGAACTCGGAGGGATAGCAAACAAAACCCAAACCAAAGCAAATAACACAACATTCGTTTTCATAAGAGTTTTACGGCACTTGCAACACAATAAAGTCACACAAGTGCCGAAGATTAGAGGTGTTACTATTACTAGAGAAAGACAAAAGGAAGATGGATATATAAGGACAACACATGTTTACTAAGAAAGGAGCAAATTATGCAAGGGGGGGGTCGCGTAAAGCGCTATAACTTTCTACCATTCACTGTACATACAATCTTATTGTTTCCTTCCCAACATCCGCCTAAATTCACTTTACTTTTACGATTGTGGCTGGAGCCGCACACAATAAAATACACCATACACCTGATCCTTACTGGAGGTCACCTTGGCAGTAATCACAAAGTAAAGTAGCAGCCCCAATAATCTACCCTGTAATCCTTCGAAGTCCAATGCATTATAACACTTATAAAAAGAACAATGAGTAGAGTTTTAATGAAAAACAGTGCTATGCAGCTGGTACAATTTAGATGCATCAGATGTTGGAGTTTGTGCTGTTTTGGTCTCCATTTCTAGCTCTGAAATGATAGAACTTACGGCTGTTTGTAAATGTATTATGAACAAGAAATTTTACAATACCTGTTACAGGAAAGTGCCGCCCAACATCACCTTGGGGACAGAATATGGCCAAAAACCGCCAAGCTCCAAAATGCGCGATGACCTCTCGCAGAACTGCATAAAAGTCTGTGAGCTCTTCAAAGAATGAATCTACAAAAGTATCCACAGTCGGGTGAGGCATAAAGCACAGTCCTCGTCACATTGGAACATTGAATACAATGTACCTCGTTTTGAACAATACCACAACAGCTTAGCTTAGGCTGAATACAATGACGCTGCCACTCTGGACCGATTGCCTATCTAGGGAGTCGACGTACCACAATAGACAGAGTAGGATGTCGCCAGTACAACATACAGGGAGAGGTTATTTCCAGAACTTTATGACTGAAAGCAGAATTTACAACGTTTATCTTCATTCTACACCACCTTGCCTTGGCTCCATCCAAATCGGTATTTATAGCCAGCTTCCTGACAATCATAACCCGAGCAGGCATGCACGCCTGTGTATTTTAGTTAGTAAGAGTTTTACGTCACTTTAAACACAATTAAGCCATATTATAAGTGCCGACAATTACAAATGTCGCGGGAGTGAAACAGAAAGAAAAGAACGATGAAAGATGAGGACAATAGATGGATGATTGGAAAGAAGAGCAAACCACACCATAACACCCACCAACCACACAGTGCGTGTGCATCATGTGTGTGTGCGTATGTGTGTGCGCGTTTGAGAGAGAGAGA